AAAAGTCAAAGCCATGAAAGGTTATAAATTCGCAAAGCCGGAAAATTCTAAAGACCCTGAAATGTGACCCTTCCAAGAGCCCTAAAGCTATTGTCATAATCAAGCAATCATCCGAAAACCTTGGCAGTTTGGGGGCTCTTCGGTCTTCACAGCGCCAGAGTGCGTCAGGACGGTGATTGAAACGAGGTTCCTGGTGGCGGCTGTGTTAGATGGTGGGGTTGTGGACATTATAACACAGAAGCGAGAAGAGATACGAGTTGTATTCCTGAGGGTTTCTCATTTCAAGGATGTCCAAAAGCATCCCAAAGCCTTGTCCTAATTATGCAGCCTACATTAGGGCCCTCTAACTGTGCTAAGATATTTTTGAAGAGTCTCATGGACCCAACAAGCCCAGGTGTCCGAGTAGTCCCCAGATATGGTGACCCTGGCTGGGACCTTATAATAGCTCCACTTGCTGCGTCCCTTCAACCGTTCCACAACATCGAAGGGCGCAATTAGCACGTTTCTTTTTCATGGGCTTCGATTGCTTCTTGCTGCTGCTGCTGCTGCTGCAACTACTACTACTTCTTCTTCTACTTCTACTTCTACTTCTACTACTGCTACGACAACGACGACGACGACTACTACTACCACTGCTACTCCTACCCCGACTGGTACTCCTAGTACTCCTCCTCCTACTTCTGCTACTACTACCACCTCTACTACAACCACTAATACTACTACTCCTCCTCCTGCTGCTGCTACTGCCGCTGCCACTGATACTGTCTCTGCTACTGCTACTGCCTCTGCTACGACTGCTGCTGTTGCTTCTGCTACTGCTGCTGCTACTGCTACTGCTGCTGGTACTGCTACTGGTACCACCACGATAAGCTAGCGCACATGACTCTATGTGAATCCCATTGTCCGAGCTGCGAGAGCCCAGTATGCATCCCAGAAGCTGGTGAGCACATTGACAGTTTAGACTTTAGACCGAAGACCCCCAGCTGCCATTTGGGGGACATTCTGTTCTCCAAGTACATAGGACATAGGGTTTGTGTGGGGTCCCCAAGGGACAGTGCCCTTTTGTCGTTGCTCAGAACGAAGAACTTTCTACAGAGTGACCCGATAACGCCCTTCTAAGCCTCGCCAGGACGGCCCCTCACTAAACCGTCATAGTAACCTGTATGATAGGTAATCCTGATAGACCAAACAAGTGCCTGAATCCCTGGCAAAATGACAAAAACGCGGAACCCCGAAACCTTAAGCCTCCATGCTCTCGTTGTCTCAGAGGATCGATGACTTCAATCTTGAAATCCTGCTGCTGGGCTCAGGGGTGTCCAACAAAAAGGGGGGTGGGGTGAATGGGAACCTGAAGGGTCATAATATAGGGGCCTACATAATTACCAAGGGGGTCCGTATTATAAATGTAGTACAATGGGCCCCACACCCCTATTCTAATTATTAAGGCCCCTATATTACTCCACCCCTGTTGTTAAAGAAGCACAGTTTCTGGTTAGTATCTGTTATACAGAAGAGCAGGCACCCGAAACAGGGGTAGGGTATGATCCTTTAGGATTAGGAATGAGAACGTAGGTTTGAGGCTTTGGGATTTTGATGTCAGGCTCTAGGGCTTAGGGCTTAGGGTCTGTTTTTTGGGGTTTGTAGTCTCTAGGTCCGCAGCGTTGGCGTTTAGAGGCTGGATGCATGTTGAAGTTCAGGGACCCCAAGAAGGATTAAGGGTGAAGAGGTTCGGGGGTTTAGGGCCGTTTAGGGTTTTGGACCGGAGTTTCAGGTACTGCTTGGTCTGGCGCCTTGAGAAGTACTGCGATGACTTAACATGCATGGCGCCCATAAGAAAGGGATCCTCTTCTGCTTCCTTCCCGAAAGGAACCCAGAGCGTAGTTCTTGCATACTGGCGCTCCCGGAAGCGTATTACGATGATTAAGGCCATTTCTTTGTCATAGTTAGGTATCATTTTACATTTCTCTGTGTACTTAACTCAATAAGGAATGGAACCTTAGATGTTTAATATTATCCCGACCAGGAACTAGATTTAAGATTCGTTATGAAAGGCTTCAGGGGGGCCTTAGGACCTTTGGATATTTTGTGTCTTGAACTACTTCCAAGCGTGTCGGGAGTTGCTATGTACAGCCGTGGGAGGCTACTTCAAGGTTCAATAGGATTTGTTGGGGGTTTAGGGGTCAAGCGTTCAGGCGAAAGGGTTTATGATTGGAAGAGCCTGGGTTCAAGAAAGGGCTTGGAGTTTTTCACGGGGGGTTCGTTCATGGGTTATTCATCACCAGTTCTCCATTATGCATGCCCATGGTATCTCACGCAGGGCTGCTTCCGCTGGACCTGAGGTCGTACTGGAGGTTTCCCTTTTTCGGGGCATGAGAGCTGAGGGTGTACTTGGGTTTAAGGCTTTGGGTTTCGGGTTTAGGAGTTTAGGGTTGAGGCTGTGGGCTTAGGGTTTAGGGCGAAGGCTTTGGGGTTAGGGTTTAGGGTTTAGGGTGTAGGGCTCCAGCTACTTTAGAATTTACAAAGGAGGAGGTTTCTAGCCACAGAACACGTAACCCAGTAACCCATGATATTTTTTCATCGGAGCTCACTCGGGCCGGTCAAAAGAGCGTACCTGAGATCAGAGATCTGCACATACTTCTCCATACCTTCCCCCATGGACCTTTCCAGTCAGGTAATTGGGGGTTTTGGTGGATTTTCGGCATACCTAATTACTCCTGACCCTAAACCCTACACCCCATAAACCCTAAGCCCTAAACTCCTGTACCGTAGACCTTTAAGCCAGTATCCTCTGAAGCCCAAAAGCTTCGTAAACTGAACGCGTGAAGTAGGGTTTAGGGCTTTAGGGGCTTAGGGGTTCAGGGGTTCAGGTTTTAGGGCTTCGGGTTTAGGGGCTTAGGGGTTTAGGGGTTTAGGGGCTCAGAGTCGAGGCTGTCGAAGGCATTGTCGATTGCGGTGAGACCCTCAGCCACGAGCAGCTGGCAGCTTCAGGGAACCAATGGTCGGGTGTATTGCTGAAAACGGCTTAGGGCTTGTTGCTAAAAGGGTCTAGGGCTTGTTGCTAAAAGGGTTTAGGGTTTGGGGTTCATTGCTTAGTCTGTCCTGGAGTTGCTTGCTCAGGGCTGCGTCTACAGAGTCGTGGATTTGGGTGGTGGTGTGACTTGGGGTTGGGATTTCTCGCACTAGAGTTCTGTGATTTCTGCTTCCTGGGACCCAATTCCCAACACCAAACCCTTAAATCCTTACAGCCCCGAGCCCTCGATTTGTAAACATGGTGTTGAGCATGTTGGGGCAGCGAATCGTTGTCGGCCTCGTGTACCCGCAGTAGTAGTCGTAGCAGCATTAGCAGCTGCAGCTGTAGTTGTTGATCTGTTGTCGTCGCCGTGGTGATATCGATCGGTGTCCACGCTCGGGAATGCAGTCAAAGATGATAACGGTTCAGCAAGGGAGTCTCCTACAGCCCCTCCTCGCCACTGCCAGCTCGGAATGTGGACCTCGAATTGTACATCTGATGGGCCCTGCTACAGATCTCTGGTCGAACCATCAAAGGGCCCGTACAAACCCGGTAGATACAGAACCCCTGGCGGACCCGCGCAAGCATGTATACACTCCTGCATGCTAAGGTCATCGCTGGCTCGTGCATCGGGAAGATGCCTCAGGTGACACACTGCCAGTTGTTCATTGCAGGGGGAGTTTGTTTTCGGTTTGGGTTCGTTAGTTTAGAAGTTCAAGGGTTCTATAAGGGCACTATAGGCTATAGGGGCTGGCTTAGACTGCCTTAGTCTTGTATTTTATTGGCTTTCTATAAGTCTTCTTGTTCTGATGCATTCTATTCATATCTTGGAGTTCAGCCATGTTGCTATTGATGTATTTCTTTGGCTTTTCGTCTGGCCTTGGGGTCAAGCATTCTTGGCTTGCATTGAGCTTGGCTGCTTTTAGTTCGTGCCTTCATTTCATGTTGCTTTTCTCTTGGACTCGTGTGCGATTTAACGTTAACCTGCTCCACAGCTGGATCCATTGCTGGAGTGCAGCGAAACTTTGATGGTCGTAGAAGATATAGATAAAAAGCCTCACAAGAATTAGGAAGGACGGAAGCAAGGTGAGTAGGTGGGTAGGTATGGAGGCAGGGAGGTGAGGAGGCAGGCGTGTAGGTGGGTGGGTAAGTAGATACGTAACACTAAAGAGCCGCATGTATGCATGCATGCATGTATGTAGGTATGTATATAGGTAAATATGTAAGTAGGTAGGGTTGGCAGGTAGGCAGGAAAACTGGCAGGCAGGTAGGTAAGTAGGTGGGTGGGTAGGTAGGTAGGTAGGTAGGTAGGTAGGAAGGTAAGCATGCATGTAAACATGCATGCATGTAAGCATGTACGTATGTGTTGCTTATGCATGACAAACAGACAGGCAGCCAGCCAGCTAGCCAGCCAAGCTACGTCCTTTTCTGCCATGCAACGGGGACAATGAGTTTTGGAAGAAGTTGAAGCCCTCAGGAATTTAGGCTTGGAGCGGCGAATTTTATTGCCTGCAACTTCAAGCCCTAACGTCAAAAACCCAAGCAGGAAGCAGTGTTTGCTGCAGTCGGAATCCTACTCTAGACCCTAAACCCTAAACTTTAAACCCCTAAATCCTAAACCCTCAACCCTCCTTCGCTCTAAACCCTAAACCTTAAACGTTTAGCACAGGTCCTCGCAGTATGGCAGGCGAAGTCGGCACAGGGCCTTTCCAAGGTCTCCATTTGGACGGAAGCCGCCCATTTGCCTGCATTTCTTAGGCTGGCTATCGGTGTTCAATGCGTCGGTTTCACGTCTTCGCAGCTCGAGGTTTCGTCACTCCAGGCGTAGAATACCGTCAGAATACGGCCCTGGAGTTCAGTCGTTTGTGGCGAAGGTGTGTATATTTAGGGTTGTTTAGCAGCATGCCCCGGGTGGCTTCCAACGTTCTCTCCAGATTTGTGTTCTTCTACTCATGGATGCATGTCTGCTTTCTCTACCGTTCAGGTAAGTATGGGGGTACAGCTCTCCTACAACATCGTGCGGCACACGCCCTTGACGACCTACGCCGAAGTTGCGACTCGCCGGCAAGGACAACGCCCGCAAGAAGCCCGGAAGTCGTCAGTTTATACCGACGAACTGGCTCTAGCGCATCCAGATAAATACGTCCAGCTCAAACTCTATTCGTGGGTTTAGGGTTTAGTGTTTACGGGCTTAGGGTGAGCTTCCGCACTAAGCCTACTAAGTAAGCCCCCTGCCCAAACCTCCAAGCCGCCCCCCAAAGCCACAGTTCGGGGGACAGCTGCATGCCTGCATCACAACTTGAGGTTTTTGGGCTCCAGCTACTGTACATAAAGGGGCTTAGTGTTCCGGGTTTGTCGAATTTCGATGGACCTTTTTTGCAAGCACAAGTGAGTGCCGTACACTGAAGCTTACAGCAACAGAAACTTTTTCCCAAGCACTGGGGCTATAGAAGTCCGAGCGACTCTGACAGCACATTTGGGGTTCCCGACAAATCATAAGAAAAGCCGTGGTGCCAATTTTAAAATCGGGTATCCCGAATTAGGGTCTGTTTTGTCTGTTATAGTATATAGGATGATATCAACATTGCGGTGCAAGATCGGGGTCCCTCTCGAGCCCAATCCCTGCATCGCAGGGGAGACGGATTTTCTGAATTCGCCAGATCACAGGAGCCTTCCGAAATAATAGAGGGGCCTAAATAATTACCAATATTATTGTGGGGGTTCCTTATAGCAAGTATAGTATAATGGGCTCCCAAGCCCTATTCTAATTATTAAGGCCGCTATATTATTCCTTCCAGCTCCAGTGACTCTAGTGTTCAGGCACAGCTCTTCGGCATAGGGCCCGCTTCAAAGAGGCTCATCCAGAGACATACTTCTCCCTCAATTTCGGGTTCCTTACTGAAGGTCCCCCTACAATATGCGGAATACTTTTGATCCAGTTCTAGGAAAGGGTAGTGGAGCGCCTCGGTATGTTCCACCTGTGCTCGAAAACAGGGTTCAAAGAATTAGGATCGGCAGTACCGAGGTGTAAGCTATTTTGAGGATGCTACGAGCCGGGCGCAGCCTGCTAGTGCGATCGCTCAAGCCCATGGCCGTAAGTTTTATGCCTGCTACCACCATGCTGATCGCGATGATTGCGATAAGGCACCTACAACCTAAACCCCTAAACCCTAAACCACTTCCGGCTTCGCAGAGTGTTCCCAAAGTCAGAAACCCTCTCAGCCCCTTTCTGGAGTCTGGGGTCCCGGGGTTTGTTTGATTCTAGGCATGGGTTGGTTCCCTGCGCCGGATTTTGCTGGTGCATAAATACAAAAAACCTACCGAGTTTGCAAGGTTTCTTAGAGATGTAAAAATCCGTGCTAGCTGCCCCCTTGTGGCGATTCTTGGTAGTTTATCTGCCCGTAGGCTACACTGCATAGTACGGGTCACAGGGGGCTTCACTATGTGTCACGCCGACATGCACCTGATAGACCTCCCCTGGCACGTCCCACTTGCGAGAGCGGAAACCACTTGAGGGGAAAACAACCCAGAGAACCCAATACCCGTTAATTCAGGAATATACCTTAAATTATAGGGGCCTTAATATTATGATTTAAGGTATATTCCTCAATTAAGGAGTATTGGGCTCTCTGGGAAAAGCCTCGAACCCCTTGCGGTCATCACTCACTGGGGATGTCGAGCTTCTTCGAATGCCGCTCCATTCAAGGTTCTCGGTAGCGTGAAGATACTGTAAGTTTCGTTAATTCGAAGCGCCGGCAAAGGCCTTCAACACTTGGCGCCGTGATGGACAGTTATACCCAAACCCACAAGCCCTGCCGCAACAATGAATGAAAAAAGGCAGATAACAAATCTGAAGCAGCAGATCGCCGACTCTTCGCGGGTCAGAGTGTGAAGTATCCTTGAGTTCCACAGAAGTGCACAGCAGGACTTCAAAAAGGAGCCTACAGCCTAGACTCCTAGACTGGAACTTAAATCCTATACTAGCTTTGAGGCCAGATGTCACTGCCCACTGGCCTCTGGCTACCCATGATACCTTCTTTACACCCCACTCAAACGTTCTTTCCTTGAAGGAAAACCAAAACCCTGAACCTTAAAGCTCTGTGCAGCCACCTGCTTCCCACATTATCGGATCATGCCTTTAAACGGACTCAAAATGACCCAACACTAGTCCAAGCCCCAACTACTGAACCCTAAATGCCAAATCCTAGACAAACGCAAAGGACCTACATCCCTAACCGATTCCAAACCCTACAACCTAAACCATAATCCAAGGCCATACTCTTCCCAAAGGTGCCAAACCCCAAACTAAACCCTGAACCCTACGCCAACCATCCGAAACCCTAATCCGAGGCCATACTCTTCCCACAGACCCTAAACCCTAAACCCCTAAACCCTAAACCCTAAATAAACCCTAAACCCTAAACCCTACTCCGAGGCCATACTCTTCCCACAGATGCTCATCCTAACTGTCGTGGTCGCCTGGGCGGATGCGAAGCTGGGCCCCAGGGTCTGGCCACTGGGCCCTATTTGGGGCCTTTAGAGGCCTTAAGGGGGGCTACCTTATACCCCTTGAACCCCCTAAGGCCCTAAAACCCTGGACCCCAAACTTTAGGGGTCTCGGGGTATTTAGGGCTTCAGGAGTTTAGGGTTTAGGGTTTTTTGGGGGTGGATTTGAGGGCTTCGGAGCTTGGGGTTTCAGGGCTTCAGGCCGGAGGACTGGAGAATGTACGGTCGTAGGGGCTTTAGGGTTTGGGGGTCTTGGGCTTTCTCGGCGAAAGGGTCTCCCGGGTTTAGAGCATAGGGTCTTCGGGTTTTAAGCAGAGGCGTCTTAGGACTTTGCGAGTAAAGGGTCTTGGGGCTTTAGGGCTTAGGCGGCTTATGGCTTAGAAGCTTTGTTTAAGGGCCTCAGAGCTTCAGGGTTTAGGGTCTTGGGGCACTGTCGCTTTCGCTTGTTTTTGGCTCTGGGGGGCTCCAAGTTTAGGGCTTTTGGATCTGAAGGCTTTCTGGCGTAGGGTTCCTGGCTCAGGGCTTAGCGCTTGGGGTTTAGGGTTCAGGGTGGTTGGGTTTAGGGTTTTGGATGGTTGGGTTTAGGGTTTAGCATGGTTGGGTTTAGGGTTATAGGTTTTGGGTTTAGGGTTTAGGATGGTTGGGTTTAGGGTGCTTGGGTTTCGTTCAGGGCTTGAAAGAGACTTTGCATGTGCCTCTGCGCACTAGATAGAGAAAGCCCTAAGCTTTGGCACTCACTGGGCTTTTTGCGGAAAGCCCTAAAAAGAAGCTCACAGACCGGGTGTTCAAGCTGTTAAGGACAGTAGAATGACCTTCGACCCTACACCCTGTAAGCCCCAGAAAGCCCCTAGCCTAAACCCGAAGCCCAGTGGGTGACATTGCATGAAATGCCTCTGAGTTTAAGGATTAGGGGTTTAGGGATTAAGGGTTTAGGGCTTAGGGTTTAAGGGATTCGAGTTTGGGGTTTAGGGCTTAGGGGCTTAATTAGGGTTTAGGGGCTTAGGGTTTAGGGCTTTCGAGTTTGGGGCTTTCGTATCTGCGAGGATTGGGCCGAAGTCCCGGAACATCAGGGCCGAATCGTATAGAATTTGGGTACATGGCCACTGAGGCACTGCGTGTTAGAGCAAGCACACGCACAAAAAAAAAAAGACAGCTGGTGTCGAATGCAGTGTAGGGTTTAGGGGCTAGGGTTTAGGGCGGGTTAAGCATGCTTCGGGATGGGATTCTCCAGACTTGAAGGGAGTGTGCATGCCGATGCGTATGCCTCCTTTCTGGTTCGCTATGCGTATATCACTTCTCTTGAGCAGCACAAAAAATGTTTCTCTGGCTGATGAGTTCGGTACCCTAAACCTTTTGAGCCCTAAACCCCGAAACCTTGCTATGATTTGGTAGTGTGAGTCCTTAGAAGGTAGGCAACTTCCTGGTTGTTTGAAGGCTAGGGTCCAGAATTCAGATAAGCCAATGCCAATATCTGTTAGTCACGCCTCTTGCAATACAGCTTGACTGAACACGGTCTGGTAAGTCCGAGATGCAAACCCAGCCAAAAACAGAATGCGGGGGTTCAAGACGGGAGTGTCGAGTCTAGGCTCTTTCGGCCTAGGGTTTAGGCCATCTCGGTTTCAGTAGGCCCAGAGGCCCAGACCCTGTAAGGCTGAATCAAAGACATCTGAGACCTTTTTTGCAGATTTTGCGGGCTTACTCCAAGACCAGAAATCCTTAAGCCGACGAAAAGATAGTGGTAATCATGAGATTGCGAGCACCCTTACCGCAGCCCTTCTAGGGCTGTAGTGTTTAGCGTCTAGGGTTTCCAAAACCCTTTGGCCCTAAACCCTTTTGGGAGCCCTGATTGTGCATAGCAGTGGAGAGAAGTAATGGGTTGAAAGGAAGCGAACAGTTGCAAGCAGAAAGGATCGCGTGCGCTTGCCTCTGCACCGGGGTGGTGTTGATGTCGACTGGGCTGGCCGCTTGGAGGAAGAATACCATAAGGGCCTTAAGAATTAGAATAGGGTTTTGGGGCCCATTATACTACAATTTCAATAAGGAGCCCCCAAAATAGTATTGGTAATTATTTAGGCTCCTACTCCTACATTATTTCGTGGAGCTCCGCCATGCGATAAGAAATCCCAGGATTTAGAGCCATGGTTATGGCTACGTCGAGCCCAATTGAGGTACTTATAACCCTACTTACTGTGTCTGACAAGTAAAGTCGGTTCGAACTCCCAGGCCCCCGAAGCGGGGATGGTGCGAGTCTCTCCTCTTAGGTTTCCGCCACCGTTACCGCCGCGGCCTATGCAGCCGTTGCGCTGTTTGGGATCGTGGCCGTACTCCCTCAGGCCAGGGCTTAAGGCGTAGGGTAGGGTCAGTCCGGGCTGCTGGACAACGAGGCCTGTTGCAGGGTTCAGGGCTCAGGGATGTAGGAGTTCAGGGCTTATTGTAGGGTTGAGGGTCTTTAAATCGCTCCATATAGGGCGCCTTACTTCAAAGAGCCTTTCCCCTTCACCTTCTGCAATTTGTCGCTTAGAAAAAAGTAAGAGGCTGGTTTTTTTCTCTGGGAGCTCCGTTAGCCTCCCAGGATTCTCTGAAACGGAACTTGGTCTAGGGCATTTTCAGGTGGGTAGTTATAGTTCAAATTCGCGTTTGCTCAGCCCATGGGAAAAACTCCGAGATTGACATAAATTAGTACACGCGGTTGTAACTACGAGGTAGACGAGGCACGTGAAATAGCAGGGCCCGGTGAAATATGAAATTCGAGGTACGAGGTGAGAATTATTATAATTTGGCCAGTAGTTACCGTTACAGGAGCCTTATAGAAGGTCTACAAAGCTGCAATAGAAGCCTTATAGAAGCCCCTACATACCCTAAACTCTCCCTGTAGTTTCCTTGAACTTGGGGGGAGGTATCAACCTGCAACGTCCCCTGTCCTTTAGGGTTTAGGGCTCCTACCCTTGCGGGTTCAACTATAGCATTTTATAGGGATAGTCTTGAGAGTAGCTGCAAGAGTTGCAGCATGTCTGTGTCTTGCCGCCTTTGGAGTGTAGCATTCGGAATCCCAGCACCGAAAAAGCTCAGAGTTCCATATGGTGGTTGCCGGCCCCCCTGGGACATGATCCGTTTGGGCTTCAGGACCTTGCATGTCAAGGGTCAGGGTGGCGGCTGGGGAGTTTACCTAAAATCCCAAACCAAGGCCCTGTAAACATGACTGATCTTCTCCCTGGTTCTTGGTAGGGAATGGGAGAATGGATCCCTATAAGGTCCCCTACAGTAGTCCCAATAGCCCATTCCCCCATTCCCTACTTAGAACCAGGGAGTCTTCGTCCGGAGCTATCTGCAAAGGTTGTCATCAACTACAAGAACAAGACCCTTGGCCTATGGATTCCCATGTGAATGGTTCGCGACCGTTGGACAAAGGGTTGAGGGTTTGCTGCCTTCGGCCAGTAACTACACCCTACGCCTCCAGAACACCCTGATTGCAATAAGCCTTCATCAATCGTACCTTCGTGTGACTTTCGGGCGCACGGCGCGTGAGCTTTTTTAACTCCACAGCTGAGCCGCTATCGGATTTGTGTAGGCTTTTGGAGGGTTTCAGCGTTTAGGGCAAGGCTTTGAGTTTAGGACCTGCCCCTCACAGTTTGGGGCTCTACTACGCCTGCTTGGATGTATTTTCTTTGAGTTTCGAATTCCGCTGCTTAAAAAGGGGTTTAGGGATTCTCGGTTTCGGTGTTGCTTAAAGCTCGGAGGCCCCAGAAATGCCAAGCAACAGCCCAGGGTTTGGGGAGTTTATGTAGGGTTTAGGGAAATTTGGGCTTCTTAAGCTTTGAACTCTGACGGTTTCAGTAAGGCTGGAACAAGCGTGTGTGTGTGTGTGTGCTCAACTTGCCAGGAATGTTTGACTCAATGCCTTGGCTGTTGACAGCTTGGAGCACATGCTTGAACTGAGGAACGTAACGCAGGAAGCACCCAACGTGCATCCACAGGTTTCAGTCATCATGCACCCCGAAACCCCTAAACCGCCTAAACCCCTAAACCCCAAACCCCTGAACCCTGAACCCCTAAGCCCTAAACCCTAAAAACCCGAAAACCCTAAACTCCTAGACCCCTCAACCCCCACCCCTCCATCCCCAAAGCCCCAAAGCCCTGCCAGAACTCGCCTGTCAACTGCAAGGCAGAGATGCCAAACCCGAAGCCCCAAGCCCTAAACCATAAATCTTCGATCTATTCGTGGAGTGGTGCCTATGTAGGAGACCCCATTGGAGGGCGGGACATGGTAGCTCTTGCCTGCCTTTTTCTGGGTTTTTGTTAAAGAACCATAGTTTAAGTTACCAGAATCTTTAAGGTTCCATCGTAAGTTATGTGGGTTCCTTATTCTGGGAACTTAGTTTAAATTCCTTAGCAAGAACCCACTTTTCCCCAGGTGCCGACATCGGCTCGATTCTACACCAGACGGACTCTCATAGCCCTAACGTGGAAGACTGCACGCCGGTTTAGGGTGTGGGTTGTAAGGAGTTCTCGAGGGTTCCGTAGTATCTTTGAAGTGTACGTAAAGGACACTCAGGCTTGCGCAGTACACGCAATAAACCCTGCAGCCTAACCAAACCTTACGCCGTACGCCGCCTTACGCCTCCCACCCTAAACAGTTTCGATCGGACACCCTACACCCAAACCCTCTATGTGGGACACCCTACAGCCTAAACCCGAAAGTCAGGTCCACTGGTCAGCTCTCTTTCCTGGTGACCGGAATGACTTTTGGAGGGACCCAGCAGCGACGCGGGGGTTGGGGGCTTCGGACTGACTTTAACCTAAACCCTAAACCCTAAAACCCTAAACCCTAAAGCCCTGAAACCTAAAACCCTAAACCGTAAACCGTAAACCGTGTTAAGGGCCTCTAGAGTTTCTGGTGAGTCAGGGGTGCAGAGCTGTGGGGTTTGAGGGTTTTTGCGATGTCATGACTTTTCGAGCGTTTGAGGGTTTGAGGGAGGGTTGAGGGTTTGACGTCATCGGCTTTCGAAACTTTTGGGGCTTCAAGACACGGGGCTTGGATGGGGTTGTAGTTGCAAGCTTAAGAGCATCAGGGCGGGCGCTAAGGATGTAAGGATGTGAGGTTTCGCTGTTCGGCTGTAAGGGTTCAGAGGACTTTGGTTGAGGGATGTGGAGGGTTCGAGGGTGTGCGATTTAAAGGACTTAGACTTCTAAGGGGCAGGATTGGATGGCTTGCAGGTTTCGGGGGTGTTGGGGGTACGATGTAAGAGTTGACTTCTTCAAGTTCAGGTCTTCCAGCGTTGGGAGGTGGGTGGGAATTTCCGAAGAGCTCCCCAACGCCACTCTAAGCTTCTTCTCGAAAGTCGCAGAGAGCCCGAATGCTCCTGAAGCGAGCAATCTGCGAAGGATCCCTCAGGAGTGATTCCTTCACCGCAAGCCCTAGACAAGACCCCGCCGAAACACTTCAAGCTTAACGTATAAAGCCGCCCAGAAAGAAAAATTTTTGAGGGAGCTACACTCAGCTTTGAGCGCAAACGCAGGATGGGAGCGCGTCTGCAACCTGGCGGCTTGCGGCTTCGGGCGTTGAGTTCTTGTTTATGTAAGGTTTAGGGCTCCTGGGCTGTTTGGGGGGCTCCCGAGTTTGCAAGTGAAGGTTCACCACTTGGGGGGGCATTGGGCTTGTTGGTTTGACAGGTTTGCGAGTGTGGGGCGTCGAGTTCAAGAGTTGCAGCACAGGGTTTGGTATTCGGGTTCAGGAATTCAAGGGTTAGGGCGTTTCAGGATTCAGGTGATGGCGGTGATGGTCTGATGCAGAGTGACTGAGATGTCGCGAACGCTTGCTTATAACTGTCACAGCCACCCGAGACGTCCCTAAGCCCTCAGGCCGACGTTTTTTGCTTAGATCCGCAACCGCGACTGCTTCGAGCGTCCCTTAATTAAGGAAGATATGCCTTAAATTATAGGGGCCTTAATATTATGATTTAAGGTATATTCCTTAATTAAGGGGTATTGGGTTCTCGGGGAACGTCAGCTTGACAAGGTACACCACCTTTGTTGAAGTCGACGACATTGCGCTACGAGCAACCATGTAGCTCGGATCCAGCTTGTGAAGGTTTCGACCCTTTGGTAAAGGCTGGTGGTGACAACAGTATGATTTAGTCACAAAACCAAAACCCTTGAATTCCTAACCACCCAGATAATTTCAACTGCGTCTAAGAAGAGCAAGGCAGGCCAGATTCTTCCTGCCCAGGGGCCCGCGCTTCGACATAAGGGTTTAGGGCTTTGGGGTTTTAGGGTGCGCGGTGCCTCTTGTTTCTGTCCTGGTTGAGTCGCTGCAAGCCAGATGCATGATGCAAAAAAGGGTTTAGGGATTTGGGGTTTAGGGTTCGGGGTTTATGGCAGCAGTCGAGTCCCTTGTGAAAAAGGGTTCGGGGTTTAGGGCTTGTGGGGTTTAGGGTTTGGGAAACTGCGAGCTCGAACCTGGCGACAAGCCGTAGAAACCCATTGCACAAGGGAGCAACATCCCTGACACTCCAGTAGATCTTTATTTCACACTACACCGAGGTGCTGCAAAAGTGAATTCAACAACTCGCCCGTTCTTACGCACTAAAGACTCAACACCCTAAACCTTGCCAACCGCCAAAACTCTATACAGATGTCTAGGAGAGGGTTCTTATAGGGCTCTATAAGGGTTTACAGGGTTGCATCAGGCTCTCATAAAGGATTCGTTTCCCGAAAACACGGCGTGGTAGCACTTTGGGGAGTTTAAGTTAAGCTGCGGTCAGCTTTGCCGGGCACGGGTGATTTAACCCTAAGCCCTAGACCCTAAACCCCTAAACCTTAAACCCTAAACCCCAAAACCCTGAATCCTAAATCCTAAAACCCGTTATTAGGGTTGCCAATCTCGCCACAGTCTCCGGGCTCCGAGGCTGTTCTCTAAAGTAGGGTCCTTTTTAACAAGGGTGCCGTACCTTTTTGGGGACCGAAAAAGGGACCCGAATTTAGAAAGCTACCCATGTAGTTCTCTAAACTCCAAAAAAATCCTGTCCCACTCTTGCCGGTACGCGGCGGAAACGATTCTGGGCATGGTGCCTTCCGTCCTGCCTCCAGCTGCACGGTTCTTTGCCACTCCGCGTGGTCATCGCGGCACTCGTGCTCTTGGTCGTGTTGGTCGTCGTGGTGGTCGCAAGGCCCGCACAACAAAAAGTAGGTCGGCTTTACGAGACTCAGCTATAATTCGACGGGCTCAGGAAGTAAGGTTGTTATATAGCAGCCATAATTTGATTATTTGCAGCCCTACTTACTGAGTCTCCTGATCCTGTAAGCACCTCCAGACTCCCAGGTTGCTCAACTTCAGCTTGGTTTCAACGCTCATGATGCCGCCGGGGCAAAGAATCGGGATGTGCTTTTGCTGTTTGTTGCAGGTCTTCCTTGTTTAGCACGATGGGGATAGAAGTTTGGGGCTGAGGGTGTGCTAGCGATTCGACAGGTCCATTGCTTTTCTGGGGCTCCCCGCATGGAATTTGAAGTGGGTTGCATAGGAGTACCGCAGCTCACAGCGAGAACATGGCTTCAAGCCTCAGGCACTAAGCGAACGTGCCGAAGCTATACTGAGCTTTAAAAGCTTCTGACAATCTCTGGCCCTAAGCAAGGAAGGTTTAGAACTCTAAACCGGACGAGGAACGGCCAGGGCCGGGTTTGGGGCGGGACTTGGAACTGAAGAGTGTGGCAATAGGGGGCTGCGCGCAGGATTTGCCGTGAGAACGCATGGTCACTCTCCTACAACTCAGGAAATCAGAGCTTGGGGCTCTGAGAAATCAGAATTTAGGGCTCTAAGGGTTTTGGAGTCCTTTGGTTTTAGGGTTTGTATGTCGAGGGCTCTCTGAGGCCTAGATGCCAGGTGCGGTGGACATTGGCGTCGCTAACTGAATCAATGGGGTCTTAGGCTGGCTGCCCCGGGGGCCTCAGACTTAACATACGAGCCTGAATGATGAGCAACACTGTTCCTCTTCACCCAATCCCCATTTCCTGGCATTAAGTTCCCTACATATATGGATGTTCGACTTCGGGCTTGCTTAAGGCAGTTTGCCATCTACCGGGACACGCGTCCACTGCCTCCGAAGCCAACAGAGATTGAGATGCTTGGCCGAACCCCCGCTTCCCAGCCACAAGCTTCGGCCGTGAGGTGCAGCATTCGGAAAACATGTGGGACTTTCCGAGCATAAGGGGTACCTACCTGCTTCGTTCCGATATAAGTCGCCAGCCCAGAGCTACGTAGATCTTCCCTTCCTGTCTCCAAGTTGCCGGATTTGTTCCCTGGTCCGGAACTAGTGGGGATGACGATGACACTCACAATGTTGTTGTTGATGATGATGCTGATGGTGATGATGAAGAAGATGAAGACAAAATGATGATGATGATGACGATAATGATGATGGTGATGGTAATGGTGATCATGTGATGATGATAATGGTGCTGATCAAGCAGAAGATGATGATGAAGATGAATACAATCATGATGATGATGACGATGATGTTGATGGTGATGGTGACAGTGAAGTTGGTTGTCGCCGCGATGCTCGATGCTGGTGGTGATTCATGCCTTCTGCATGCCTATCGTTTTGTCAGGGCAGGAGTGCTTCGAGAAAGTAGGGACCTAAATCGCAGGATGCTAGTGACAAGAAACCTAAAGAAGATACACTTCCTCTTAGTTCTTGTGATGAAACCACCGCACATGGGCTTTATGGTGTAGGCTCCTCCCGCCTTCAAGGATCGACTTGGAACCGGAGTCGCCCGCAGAAAGGATGACGACTCCAAAGCCTTTCAAGCGCCAGAATTCCATGGTGCAGGACTGTACAACATAGTGACTTAAGGTTAATACCAGAACGGTACGGAGTAGTCTAGGGCTCAGGCTTCTGGGTTTTTCAGGTACCTCAGACCTCGACAAAAAGTCTGGTATCATTACACAAGCCCCTGCAGTCGGACTTCCTGGAGGCACTAGGTGTTCATCAGTATGTAGATCCTAAGACACACGAAGCAAGCTTCTGCTCAGTATTGCTAGCTGCACCTAGGTGCAGTCCCTGGATGCCACGTGTGCACTCGCCCAAGAGTGAAGCTTAGGCTTAGATCCGAAGCCGAACTGCTCGGAAAGCCCCCCACACCCAAGTCCTCTGTTCCGGGGTCCGCTGATCCTCGAGCCGCAAGGCCACAAAGAGCCCCTGGTCTCAAAGTCCCAAACTCCTCTTGAACCCTCTCGAATGCCAAGGGTTCAAGCCAACCTGCCCCCCCAAAACCCTAAACCCTACTCAGAGGAGTCATGGGGCTTTGACTTCAGATGCCTTACCTCCGGGGTTTGGGGTTTGGTGCTAAACCCTCAACTCTACTTGCTAAGCCAGAGGTCGTCGTCGGGATGTTCTAAATCAAGCCCTGAAGCCGAAAACAATCCCTTAAAGGAAAACCCCTAAGCGAAAAACACCCGAAAGCTGGAACCCTTAGCCGCTCAACTTAGCCCTAAGGCCTTAGAAGCCTCAACCGAAACTGTAAGTCTCCAGCAAATTCCGTGAGGCTTTCGCCAGTTTCGGATCTTCTCGGTGCCTCTCTGAGCCCTTTGCCAGAACTGATGGAAGGGTCGAAGCACTCTTTTAAGGGCTTTTGGGTTCAGGGTTTTTAGGGCCTAGGGTTTAGGGTACAGCCCTTTACTTATAGGGGTTGCTTTTCGTGGTCCTTTGAGGGTGACTATAAGGGTTCCTGCAACAGGCTTGTTTTTGGTGACTCTGATAACATAATAAG